CAGGGAGGGGGCGCGGCTGCCCCCGGGCCCACTGTGCCTTCCCTTCGCTGTCCCCGGCCTCTAACCCCGTCTCCTTAGTTTGCTTTGCTTCTTCTGGGAAACTGAAACTTAAACTGGTTTGCGTTTCCCCGCTGTTCCTGCAGTGCGTCTCCAGACAGTTCTTAGACAAACTGATTCCTCAAGGAGGTGTACTCTTCCTGGCAGGCACAGGGTTTGGCAGTCATGCCTCGCTTCTCAGAACAGGCAGGGATATTCCTCTCAGAGACATCCAAAGGAGAATATGAGGTTTCCCTGTCTATAGAACACACATACGTTTCTTAAAAAACTCTGTATGTGTATCACCATTTTAACTAATTACCACCTTCTTCCTTTCCTGCCCCCAATCTTTTCTGTTGCTACCAGGCATGCAAATGGGAAGGTTCCATTCTCTCAGGCCTTGTCCCACAATGATAAGAGTATATTAGAATAGGTGGTAGGTGGAGGCGATTTGAATTGGTTTTGTCATTTGTGGCGTAACCAATTACCCCTGACTTAGTAGCTTAAAGAACACACATTTATTATCTTAAAATTCTGAGGTTAGAAGCCCAACCTGGGTCTCACGGGGCTAAAATCAGTGTGTCTGCAGGGCTGCCTTCCTTTCTGTAGGCTGCTGGGGCGAAACTGTTTTCTTGCCTTTTTTTCCGACTCCTTAGGCTGCCCACCTTCCTTGGCTCAGCGCTGCCCTGTGCCCATCTTCAAAGCCAGCAACATTCCATCTCTCTGACTGCTCTGTTGTCACCTCTCACCCTGACTCTGGTCTGCTGCCTTCCTCTTCCATTTTAAAGGACCGTGGTGATTACATTGGGCCCCACTGATAATCCAGGATGATCTCCATATTTTTGAAAAAATGTATTTGTATTGATTTCAGAGAGGAAGGGAGAGGGAGAGAGAGATAGAAACATCAATGATGAGAGAGAATCATTGATCGGCTGCCTCCAGCCCGCAACGTGGGCATGTGCCCTGATGGGGAATAGAACCATGATCTCCTGGTTCTTAGGTCAAAGCTCAACCACTGAGCCATGTTGGCTGGGCTGGAATTCTTGAATATGTATTTCCTACAAAAAGGTGTTCTCTACATAACTGAAATACAGTGACCCAAATCAGGGAATTGATATTGAACATTGCTGACATCTAATTCTTGGATCCAATTCAGATGTTCCCAGTTGTCCCAATAATATCCTGTGTAACAAAAAGACCCAGTTCAGAATCGCACGTTGCGTTTAGTGGTGATGTCTCTGTAGTCTCTTTCTGTCTGGCACAGTTTCTCGGTCTTTCCTGGGCTTTTATGAACATGACACTTTTGAAGTTTGTGTAATGTTTCTTCATGCTTAGATTCAGATTGTGCATCTTTGGCAGGAATATCATAGGAGTCATGCTGTGTTCTCAGTGCACCCTATCACATGGCATAGGATTTCCAGTCACCACGTTATTGACTTTGATTATTTCATTCTGGTGGCGTCTGGCTGCTTCTCCAGAATACAAAAGTTACTTTTTTCCTCTTTGAAATTAATAAGGATTTTAATTGTGGAGAAGTATTTTAAAATTCACTAAGTGATCATTTCCTTATCATAATTTTAATTTATTTATTTACGTCAGTATAGACTCATAGACTCTGGATTGAAATTGTTACGGTCCTTATTTACTGGTATGCTTAATTTCTTCCCACGTTTGGTCAGTGAGAACCTCCTTAAGCTGGATCCTTTTTTTTTTTAAAATATATTTTATTGATTTTTTACAGAGAGGAAGGGAGAGGGATAGAGAGTCAGAAACATCGATGAGAGAGAAACATCGATCAGCCCCGCAAGCAAGGCACATGCCCCCGACCGGAATCGAACCTGGGACCCTTCAGTCCGCAGGCCGACGCTCTATCCACTGAGCCAAACCAGTCAGGGCAAGCTGGATCCTTTGACCTTGTTGCATGTCCTCATCATTCTTTGAGCACTTCCTTGCTTTTGGCACCATAAGGTGCTGTCTTGTATCTTTCTCTATCAGTCCTAGAAAGGCTAGAAGACCAAAATAGTAATCTTTTAAAAGGGAGCATATTATGATTGCGATGTTACTACAAAGGAATGTTAATACCTATCATTTTCTACTACTTTGTGGAAAAGCAAAAGCTTTTTAGAACCCTTGTATATATTTATAGGTGTAAAGTTACTTGAAATATAGACTTTGGATAGAAGCCACATGATAAGAAAGAATTTGATGACGGGGGGAAGATGTAGCAAAGGAGAGATTTTTTTTTTCCGTAAAAGGGTCAAACTTGTTATTTCCTTCTTATTGAGTTTGTGTGTATATACTGTCTTTAAAATATTAAACATTTATGACATTAGGGAATCATGGCGGCTGGTGAAGATATAAACGAAGTTATGAAGGAGTATTTGAAAAAGGAAGAATTTATGAAATATGAACAAAATCAGGTAAATAGGAAAAATCACTGGGTATTATTAAAAATTAATTTGTATACATTTGTTTTTCAGTGAAGCATGTTTTATACATTTTTATCCAACATTACCTTGAATTTTGGAGGGTATTAGGGTTTTCTGAAATAGTTTTACTTCCATTATTCAAAAGTTAAAAGAAGAATCATATTTCTGTTTTGTCTTTTCCAAGGCTTACAACATTACTGCTTTTCCCCTCCCTCCCTCATTTCTTTGATTTACACCCAGAAGTTAAGAGCATAGTTAACAAGAGGGAAGGGAGGCTCAGGTAGCTTAAACCTTTTACCCATGCCATATATCTGGCATGTCAAGGTAGCAAAAAATAAAAATAAAAAAAACCACAGCATTTAAAAAACAATTTTCCCAGAGTAACAGCTGTGCAATTTGAAAGTCATATTGTAGTCATAAATAGCTGGGAGAGGAGTTGCTAGAGCATTGGACTTAGACTCGGAAGACCTGGGTCTCAATCCTTGCTCTACTATAAAAATTTCTGTGACTTTGGTCTGTGTGAAAGGTGGTTTCCTTGTTTGTGAAATGGAGATAATAACATTTGGGAGTGATAGGAGATGATATAAAACACATTTATTATTCACAGGATTATATTTATTCTGGGACTGTCTAATGTCTTTCTTTGCTTTGTTCAGGGTGAGAGAAATTTAGCTTCTTTCCTTTAGAAAAATGAGGTCAGGAGCTGTTTAAATTTTTGGTGCTATTTGATACATTTTTTTGTGTCTTTTTTTTAGGAATTAATTGATCAAATAGCAAAGGAAAATATTTACTTAACGATGGAGATCCAAAAGCTTGAAAAGGAGTTACAAGAGGCCCCTGGAAGCTCTCAGGTACACCTTTACTTATTTTATGTATCCCATTTTTAATGATGCCATTTTTCAGAAAAAGGGATGTCATGATATAAAATTCAGTTTTAAAACATTATGGTCATCCATGGCACCACTGTTTGTAATAGTCACAACGTGAAAATAACCCAGTGTCCCTCCATAGTAGAGTGAGTTCATAAATTGGGGTACATTCACACAATGACATACTACACAGAATGAGAATGAACAGTTGCATCTAACATCATGGATGAATTTCATGAACACAGTGTAGAGCCAAAAAAGGAATGCTTCCACTGAAATATAGCACAAAAGCAGGATGTTAGAAGTTAGCATGATAGGAACTACCAGGTAGGAACTAGAAGGGAACCCAAGAGGCCTCTGGGTGTTGGTTGGTCATGTTATGTTTTTGATCTGGGTGCTGGTCACACATGTGTGATCACTTTGTAAAATCTCATCTTGCTGTACACTTAGGATAATGCACTTTTTACATGTATGTGTACATTAGCGGAATTTTAAAAACCCCCACAAAAAATGATGGTCATTATCAATCACTTTTGGACCAAATTCTTGGTCTTTTCACCAAGTTTTTTTTATTGTTGTTCTCTTCATCCAAGGTGCTACAGTAATTTAAATGAGTTGTACAATTAAAAAAAAAGGGGGATGCCCTGGCTGGCTTGGCTCAGTGGATAGAGCGTCGGCCTGCGGATTGAAGGGTCCCAGGTTCGATTCCGGCCAAGGGCACATGCCTGGGTTGCGGGCTTGATCCCCAGTCGGGGGCGTGCAGGAGGCAGCTGATCAATGATTCTCTCTCATCATTGATGTTTCTATCTCTCTCTCCTTCTTCCTTCCTCTCTGAAATCAATAAATATTTTTTTAAAAAGGATGTATATCTTCATTAGTCTCTTCTAAATGTTCCTGTATTTGAATTAGACATAACTTTCACCCCCTTTTTTCTTCATAACAACTCATAATTGTTTCTTTCTTTTTTAAAATATATTTTTATTGATTTCAGAGAGGAAGTGAGAGCGGGAGAGAGAAACATCAATAATGAGAATCATTGATCACTGCCTCCTGCACGCCCCACACTGGGGATTGAGCCTGCAACCTGGGCATGTGCCTTGACCGGGAATTGAACTATGACCTCCTGATTCATAGGTCGATGCTCAACCACTGAGCAATGCTGTCTGGGCTATAATTGTTTCTCTACATGATTTAAATGCTTAAAGCATTGCCATTTTTTTTGTCTCTGAAATGGGGAATAGGATATTGAATATCAGGAAGTGCAGTTTCCCATGTTTATAGGACTTAGAAGATTTAAGATTCTGGCTACTTCGGACTGGAGCCAGAATCAGTGAGTCTTAGAACTTACAGGGCCTTGAGAAACCAGCCAGCTCAGTTGATCCACTTTATGGAGGGCTGAAGCTGTGGCCCAGAGGGCATAGTGACTTGCTTTCTGCTACAGTGTGTTCAGGACTAGAATCAGGTACTCTCACTCTCACTCTCACTCCAGGAGCGCTCAGAGATATTGCAGGCTCAGTTCCAGAACACTGCAATAAAGCAAATATGGCAATAGAAGTGAGTCACGTGAATTTTTTTGGTTTCCCAGTACATATAAAAGTTATGTTTACACTATACTGTAGTCTATTAAGTGTGAAATAGCATTATGTCTAAAAAACAATGTAATACCTTAGTTAAAAAATACTTTATTGCTGAAAATGTTAACCATTATCAGAATCATCGGAGAATCGTAATCTTTTTGCTGGAGGAGGGTCTTCGGTTTGTAAAATATGTAACATCTGCGAAGTGCAATAAGCGAAGCACAATAAAACCAGGTATGCCTGTATACTGGATATCTCCACATAATTGGGAAACATTTTGCCTTTTCTCAGACATTACAGATTGTTTTGAAATTGGAATGATGGTAATCAGAAATTCCACTGAAGTCATATGTAGCTATACAATGAGTATAAGATTAGATCAAATGACTCAATGATTATTTCTAATCTCTTCATGATAACCTTTTATTTCAGCACGGGAACTAGAAATGAAAACGCAAAATTCATTTGTGCATTTATGTGTAATTGTATAGATCTGTTGATTTTTTTGATTTTTAAGCAGCTAAGTATAACCACTTAACTTTATCCTCCATATTACAAATCTTGTTGATAGTGTCCCTTCACATTTTTATAAACCTAAGTTGTGGTATTGGTTAAAATTTTGATGGGCAGGTAGTGGGGAAGGGAGAAATTAAGTTTGATATATTTAAAATTTTATAATTCAGATTTCAGACCATTTATTCAGCACAACATTTTTTAAAAACTGCTTTAGGATCATATGTGTAATATAAAGTTTGGGGACATTAATATGTTTTACAACTTCATAATTTTACGGCTGAATAATTGCCTATAAAAGAGACACAAGGAAAAGTGAGGCTTTAAAATTAAAATGGGAAAAATAGGTGACATTTTGGATATGTCGTATTCTTAACTGCAGATATGGACATATCATGTTTGTTTAAATCATTATTACTAAAAGTTGTAATTGTAACCTCGACCACCACATGGTACATTTTAGATGTCCTTTCTTTCGTGTATTCTTTTGTATTTTTTTTAATGTTCATAAAAAGCTTAATTTATAAAAAAAATAAATTATATAATTCAGGAGTCTTTCTTTTGGGATGAAATTTTTTGGGTTTGCTATCAAGTTAACTATAGTGTACTCCCAACTCCATTTCCTACCTCTTTGCAAGAAGAGTAAACATTCTGTCTAATGATTCCTTTGTGAGTTAGCCTATTATTGGCACAGTTGTTTAAAAGGTACTTTCATGAAGGATGTAGTCTTTAGAAACAAACACTATATAATATTGACCAGTTTAAATATTGATTAGAAAAAGTGAGAGATTATATACTTATAATTTGATCTGTGAAATAAGATGAAAGGATCAGCATCTGATTGCATTACTGAGGACTTACCTGGGCAGAAGCAATTACTAAAGTTATTAAATACAACCATACTGAGTATTCTGTGGGATTTTGAAATCAGTGGAGAATGAATTATTGGGTGGTCAGATCACATTATCACTGGAAGGGCTTAAGTTATTTCTTGTCTTGATTTTAATCAAACATTTCATTTTGAAATAGATTAAAGAGGATATTCCTGAAGCAAAGTTGAAATTCACATCTTTAGAGAATCCTGAGGATGACAGCAGGTTTTCAAATATCTCCTGTTCATTTCAAGTGAGCTCACAAGTTCCTTATGTGCTACAAAAAGGAGAAGCACTCATCACCTTTGAAGAAGAAGAAGGTATGACGAATGTTCAACATTGTCACCAAGTTACCCTTGGAAAGCACTTGCACTTTCAAAGAGCTGTCCTAGATGTTTGATTATTGCTTTACAATCTTACACATATTATTTCATCCCATTCTCAAAGTGAAACTCTGAGGCAGGTATGACTATCCCCATTTCACAGATGTGAAAACTGACTTTGAGACATTAAGTGACATGAATATGATCACTCATTGAAAATGCAATGGTTCTGAGACTCAAGCCCAAGTGTTGTGATGTCCAATACCAGCGTCTTTCTATTCTACCGGCCACTTCCAAATGATAATACTGATGTTTTAAGGACATAGAGCTCTACACAGTTATCAGAGAGTTCTCACAGACATTTTCTCATTTTATACTCACATGACTCTGTAATGTAAGAGAATTACTATTTACATTTTATAGCCAAGAAACAGATTCTCAGGTGTTTATGTGATTTACCAAAGGGCATATGACCAATGGATGGACAGAACTCAGGAGTCAGAGATGTGGGATGGAACCTCATGTTTGCTACGTCAGCCATGGTGTAGGGTCTTGTTTAGAGCTGGGAGCACCTTAATGAGGAGAATCTGGCCTTTAGTGTCATACTTGCTAGAAGTGTGAATTGGGTTGAGTTCTTTATAAATCTCAAGATTTTTTATGACAGGCTTTGTGGTCATACCTACCTCATGGAGTTGCTCTGAGTATTAAATGAGAAATGTTGATAACATACTTAGCACAGTGTCTGACACATAATAAACACTTAGTCAATGTTAGCTGTTATTATTGCTACAAGTTAGGAATTTTCCAGATAAGAAACGAAGATAGGGAACTTTAAAGAAGATAGGGAACTTGCTCAAGGTTCATACAGTTAACAAATTGCAGAGCTGAGAGCCAAACACTGAGTACCTATTTACTTTCTACTGAACCAGCATTCCTCTGAGCAGACCACCATATGTCAAGTTATGGAGTGGCCTGGGGCAAGGGTGGGCTAGAAGAGGTCAGTGGGTGTGGGGGTGGGTGGGGAGGAGACATATGAAATACTTTCAACAATAAAGATTTAAAAAATAGCCCTGCCCGTGTGGCTTAGTGGTTGAGCTTGACCTGTGAACCAGGAGGTCACGATTCAATTCCTGGTCAGAACACATGCCCAGGTTGTGGGTTTGATCCCCAGTGTGGGGTGTGCAGGAAGCAGCTGACCAATGATTCTCTCTCATCCTTGATGTTTCTATTTCTCTCTCCCTTCCTCTCTAAAATCAATTATATATATGATTTAAAAATTAAAAAAGAATTAAAATAGAGGTGGTCCTTCAGGTTTTAGCCCTGTCACCCCCCACCCCCCAAAAAAGTTATGGGAGGGGTCAGATGGTCTTCACAAACCCTTCAAGTGCTCAGATGCTGTTATTGTAACTCATGTCTCCTGGTGTTTGGTCCATTACTTTAGCCTGAAAGTAAGTGTTAGAAAGAAAGGGATTCAAGGGATCAAGAGGTACAACCTTCCAGATATAAAATAGATAAGCCACGGGGGTGTACTGTACAGCATGGCAACTATAATCAGCAATATTTTATTGCATATTTGAAAGTCACCAGGAGAGTAAATCTTAAAAGTTCTCATTACAAAAAATGTTTTTGTTACTTTGTGTGGTGGCGATGGTAACTTAATGTGGTGGTCAATTTGCAATATATACACATATCGAATATGATGTTGTACACCTGAAACTAATATAATGTTATATGTCAATTTTACCTTAATTCAAAACAAAACAATGGCCTTCTAGCAGGTCAGTATATATTCATACTATTTGTTCACCCTGGGTCCACCCCTGCAGCTGAGGGTGGAGTGGGAGACCAAGAGCCATGCTGGCAGTTGGCAGTGGGCATTCGGATTAACCTGAAAGACTGAATTGAGGATTTGGGAGGAGGGGATTCTGCACAGGAATTACCTGAGAATGCTGAGAATAGTATTCTCTTCAGAAACAGTTGCATCACTGCTTCCACCATGGGCATGGCTCTGAAGTCCTCGTCTCCTGGGACAACTTTGGGTTTATATAATTAACAGGAGTTGGCTTTTGACGGTCAGTGTCACAGAAGTTGAAGCACAAGTGGTTCCTTTCAGCTGCGTCAGATCACCAGATGTTGGAGGTTTGGGTGTGGGGAGTGAGAGGGAAAGAGCATCATTTAAGTATTACTTCATTAATATTTTCTGTTATTGTCCGTTGTCATTAACAAAAAAGTCATAATTCAAGAGTCATATCATAGTACAATGAATGTGAATTCCCACATGACAAGGCCTTGTCTTCTAGCCCAGTTTCTCTCTTCCTCCAGCTGTGGTGTGCAAGCTGGTTGCCATAAACACATGCGAGGTTTATAAGACCAGGAGTGGGCATCTCTTATTTTCTTGACAAATTAGAGCAAACAGCTCTGAATACTAACTGAAGAGTTATAACCTCTCATGTCACACAATTAAAAATAAACACACCCACATGCATTTTAAATGGACACACAGTTGCTGTTTACAATTCCAATGATTTTTGGCATAATTATATTCCTGAGCGCCTCTTATTTGCATGGATACATTTAATGTGGTAGTTTTGTGATTGGCACAGGAAGGCTCTCAACTTGTCAATGAATTATCTCAAAAACATTTTAGTGAAAGTAGAATTCCTAATTAAATATGGCAAAAAAAAAGAGAGATTTACTCATTGGTATTCAAGCCTAGGTGGTCTTTAATATGTAATCCTTGGGAAGGACAGAGAGAAAAATAAATATTTACTTCTGTGGTGCTTGTAACATATTAAAAAGGAGCAACAGATGACACATAAGGTTGATTGTCAGGATAACACTGACCCACAAAGGCTTTCCCAGCTTACGCAACACAGAAGAAATTTCTGGCTGTGCTTTAATGTCCTAAGGGAAATCTCTGTTAATTGTCAACAGTGGAAAGGAAGGGTGTGTGACTATACTGAAATCATATATGAATTTCTGAAGAATTATCAGGCTCTTGATGAGAATTTCTACATTGTATTTTTTGCTGATGTATTTTGACATTAATATATCCTACTTTGGTGGCAAGACCATTATCACTTGGAAATCCTAAGAAAAGTTTTCAAAATTAGATCCTTGAAAATGAAAGAAAATTGCCCTGGCTCGTGAGGCTTAATTGGTTGAGTGTCCTCCTGTGCACCCAAAGGTTGCAGGTTCAATTTCCGGTCAGTGAACATGCCTGGGTTGCAGGCTCTTTCCCTAGATGTTTCTCTCTCCCTCTTCCTTCCTCTCTCTCTCTAAAGAAATTTTTAAAAACGTAACTAAAATTTAAAATATTTAGGATAGTTTGTTCTTTTTTTAATTGAATTTATTGCCGTGACACTGGTTATTAAAGTTATATAGGTTTCAGGTGTGCAATTCTACAGCACATCATCTGTACACTGTATTGTATCAAGTCAAGTCTCCATCCAGGATAATTTGTTATTAAACCAAAAGGATAAAAATATATTGAAATACTGGAAATTAATACTTTCCAATTTATTTTTCAGTTGCCCAAAATGTGATCAGAATGGAGAAACATCATGTGCAGATAATGGATATAGGTGTGGAGGTTATGGCCAAGCCAGTTCCATTAAGTTCAGGAGTCAGATTCCAGGTAACATGGTGATTGAAGCTTTTCAGAATTCTCTTAAACATGGACAGTGTTCTCATTCATATCTCTGAACATGAAATGATTTCCCAGGTTTCTGTAGAAGTGTCTAAAATGAAGGTCAATGTTACTGAAATTCCTGATGAATTGCCTGAAAGTCAGATGAGAGACAAGCTAGAACTGAGCTTTTGTAAATCCCGAAACGGAGGCGGAGAAGTGGAATGCGTAGAGTATGACAAGCAGGCCGGAAGTGCTGTCATCACATTTGTGGAAGCTGGAGGTATTCACATATTTAGAAAGTTAAAAAAATACTCTACCATTTAAATTATGTTCTGCCATTTCTACAGGTATTCTTTTTCTACTTTTTTAAAAAATTGTTGACAGTATTACATATGTCTCCTTTTCCCCTTATTGACACCCCCTACCTGCTACTCCCTCCCGCCTCCCCAGGACAAGCCCCCCACGGCCCCAGTGTCTGTGTCCATTGGTTATGTTAATATGCATGCATACACGTCCTTTGGTTGATCTCTAACCCCCTCCTCTCCCCTCCCCTGTCATTTGTAGAGACCATGTTTTCTTATAAGTTTCCAGCGATAGAGGCCGGTCACACAGTGGGTGGATCATTCTTATATGTCCCTCTCATGGGAAAGAACGTCCTCTTAATGTTCAGACATTTTTTCTCCTGATATAAATTAAGTTCATTTCCTTTCAGAAAGCCATAGAGATATCCCATTTCCTGCTCCCCTAAATCATCATAGAGGGAAGATAAGTTATCTCTCTAACCTTTCTGTTAAGGACTGACTTCTTTCCTCTCGTCATTTTGTTTCTCTTTGTTCTACTGTCTTAGATATTGTTTTTGTTAGTTTTTCTGAAGTATGGTGACACATACGTGATCAGGTAACTTCCCCATTTAAAGCCCTTCACGGACTCCCCACTGACCTTACTATAATGTCTAAATTTCTTTCTGTGGGATAAAAGGCATCTCATTTCCTAGCTTCAAAATGACCTGCCTTAGTCCCTTTCTGCTCTCTTGAACTTTGCCTCTGAGCATTCTCTTCCACTACTCTCAGCAAAGTGGGAATAGAGGGATCATACCTCAAAATAATAAAAGCCTTATATGACAAACCTACAGCCAACATCATACTCAATGGGCAAAAACTAAAACCATTTCCCTTAAGAACAGGAACAAGACAGGGATGCCCACTCTCACCACTCCTGTTTGACATAGTACTGGAAGTGCTAGCCATAGCAATCAGACAAGAAGAAGAAATAAAAGGCATCCAAATTGGAAAAGAAGAAGTAAAACTGTCCTTATTCGCAGATAACATGATACTGTACATAGAAGACCCTAAAGACTCCATCAAAAAACTACTAGACTTTTTCTACCTCTTTTATTTGGAATTTATAAGACAGCATAAAAATAGGGGGTTGTTTTTAAATCTCATAAAATGGTAGGTAGAGTCCTGAAAATGATTTTCATGAATGCTACTGAGAATGATAATATTACACATAATGAGTACATATATCCTCATCATGTACCAGGCATGGAGTCAGGTGTTATATATGTTTATCTCCTCTGATCAGCAGCACAACTCTGGAGGTGGTTGTGATACCATTTTATTGATGAGGAAACTGAGGCCTGGGGAGGTTAAGTAACTAACCCAAGGTCACACAGTGGGTGTGTGGCAGAGAAATTTACATATATATTTATTATGAATATATTAATATATATAAATATTAAACTATCTGTTTCATCCCACCTATTAGGACTGACAAGGGTCTCTTAGGTGAAGATAATTGATAACAGGGAAGACAAGGGGTCTTCCTTGGAAAGAACAGGTATATAGACATCTGTTCCCTTTTTAGGTAGAAATGGACTATTACCAAATCATCTTAGGGAGGCTTACATTCTTATGATTAAAAATAGAAGATGCTACAGCTGCTTTTGTTAATTTGTTCAAGTGATCCTTAATGTCAAAAATCTCTTGCTCTAAGTCTTAGGGCTTCTGGGTTTGCACGTATAATAGAAATCCAACATATAATTAAAAACATTGACTGATTAGGTTTTTTCATAGCAAAATAATCCATGCTTTCTAAAGAAAGTGGAAATAATAGAGAAGAGCATTAGTTTAGTAAAAATTGAGACATTTCCTTCCCTTTCGCCTACGCTGTAGTTACGATTAGATGTTTCTGGAATTGCTGGATCATATGGTGATTCTATGTTTAATGTTTTGAGGAACTGCCATACTGTTATTCGCTATGGCTGCACCATTTTACATTCCTACCAGCAATGTCCACATCCTTGCCAGCAAGGGCCTGCACTCCTGGCCACTGTACATGCTGCCGATCCAAGGTGGACTGGGGAGAGGAGAGAAAAACAAAGTGATTGGATACTCTTCTGTACTGTTTCTATTACATCTTATGCTGTTTTAACACATTGCCTTTTTACCTTCTAGGAGGAAAATGCTGCTAAACATAAACCTGATTATTCTTTGTTTTGGAGGAAACTGATGAATTTTTATTACTATTTGCTTTTACTTTTTCTCAATGGCATTCAATACTCCCCCAACCCCTTTGCTTAACATCATTATATAAGTTTACTGAGTATCATGTATTAGTTATAGGATAACTAACACATCCATAAACACATACACTATAGTACATAGTGTATACATACATATATAGTAAAATATATATTATAAAATATATCGGATTCTAATCATAGTTTTTCTGGATACTTCTTTAGAAACTGGGCAACACTTTTTTAGGATGGGTGGGCTATTTTTTGCACATGGTAATTACATTTTTTAAAAATATTTTATTGATTTTTTACAGAGAGGAAGGGAGAGAGATAGAGAGTTAGAAACATCGATGAGAGAGAAACATGGATCAGCCGCCTCCTGCACACTCCCCACTGGGGATGTGCCCGCAACCAAGGTACATGTCCTTGACCAGAATCGAACCTGGGACCTTTCAGTCCGCAGGCCGACGCTCTATCCACTGAGCCAAACCAGTTTCGGCAACATTTTTTTTATTGAGAATTGCATTTTCTGTAGCTACTTAGGTGGGGCTATTTGAGGACATTTAAACTCTCTGCTTTGATTGACTCTGATAAATATTTCAAGAGAGAAGAATCTATCTAAACCTCAGTATGTTTGGTCTTACAGGTTTCAGAATTATGTACTGTGAAGTCTTTAAAACAGACTACAATTTCTTAAAATTTAATCACTCAATTTACTGTTTATTGTGATACTGTTCTGTTGGAAGGAAGCTTTAACTTAAGTTAAAATGTTATGCTATAAATAAAGTAATTTAAAAAAATTTACTCCTAGTTGCTGACAGGATTTTGCAAAAGAAAGACTATCCGCTGTATACAAACCAGGACTGCCACAAAGTTGTTGTTTCACCGTACATGGAAACTCACTTGAAAAAGTTTCAGGTAAGGTCATCTCTTTTCTTCCATTTTCGGGAACTTACCGCTTGATCCCACCCCACAAAAAATAAAGAAAAAGTTGTGAGTCTGTTACTGTCTGAATCTTATTAAAGAGGGATATCAAAATAGTTTCCTCATATCTGCTTAGTGCAGAATGAGTTTGTCTTTTAAAAGAACCTTTTAGTGTACCTTATTTAACTTATTATACACTTTTAAAAATTAAAATTACTCCAATAATGACACAATATTTTTTTATGCAGAGGCATAGCTACATTTCTCTCTTGTGTCTACTGTCATTGGGCATTAAAAATAATGTTTCCTGCTCATTTTCTCTAAATTCATTATCTTCAATCCAAACCTGCCCTCCTTTTCTGTTCCTACTCAGGTGTTTGTTTTTTTTAAATTGAAATTGTAATTTATTGACATATCATAGAAGTTTATTACCAATTAAAAAGGAGAGAATGGAGGAGGGAAATACTTATATACCTTAAGTAAAGGAAAAAATTTTTTTTTCTTTTTACTGAGACAAACACAAATGATTGTGTTCATGATTTTTTTTCTTTTTTAGATTTCATTTCATTTTATTTTTTTATTAAATTGATTGGGGTGACATTGGTCAACATGAACATATAGGTTTCAGGTGTGAGTTTCTATGTTACAAGATCTGTATATTGCACTGTATGCCCATCATCCAAAGTCAAATCTTCTCCTGTCACCTTATGTTAGGACCCCCTTCTTCCTCCACCCCCCTTCCCTCTGGCAACCACCACACTGTGGTTTGTGTCCATGAACCTACTCAGGTCTCAAATGGCACCACCATCTACTTAGTCCACCGACCTGAAAACTAGAATTCATGATTAGCTCTTTGTTGTTTTTAAAAAATATATATTTTATTGATTTTTTACAGAGAGGAAGGGAGAGGGATAGAGAGTTAGAAACATCAATCAGCTGCCTCCTGCACACCTCCTACTGGGGATGTGCCCACAACCAAGGTACATGCCCTTGACCGGAATCGAACCTGGGACCTTTCAGTCCGCAGGCCAACGCTCTATTCACTGAGCCAAACCGGTTAGGTCTAGGTCTTTGTTTTGCTTCAGCTTGAACATTCATTTGGTCACTCAATCTTGTCACTTTCACTTGCACTGGCCTTTCTCTCAGCAGAGTTGCCTTTCTTTCCTTTATTTGTCTAATGCCACCAAAGTTGTCTTCCTGAAACTCAGATCTGACTCTGATATGCCCTTGCTTGAAAAATCTTACTGAGGTTCCCTGTCTTTCCTAAGATAACTCCGAAATATTAAGCAGAGCTTATCCATGTAAAGGTTTGCAATTCAAAGCTCTTAGCAAATTTTCTACTTATCTTTTTTACTTTCCTTTTTAGGTATTTTCAGGAATATCTAAGAGGACAGTGCTTCTGACTGGAATGGAAGAGCTCTGCCTGATGGATGAAGAAGAAGTAGGGGATTACATTAACATTCACTTTCAGCGGGCGAAGAATGGAGGTGGAGAAGTAGATATGGTCAAATGTTCTCTCAATGAACCTTGCATAGCATACTTTCAAGAATAGACTTATGGAATCATATGACAATTAGAGCTTCTGAGCCCAAATCACTATCAGTGTTTTACAAAAATGAGTACCTTTCTCCTTAAAAAAATGAAACTTTTAACTTTTAATTCTTAGTGTCCATATATTCTTAGAGACAAATATATTTTTATGGTTCTGAATTCTTCTTTGTTTCCAACTGTGCTGCATTTTTACAAATGTGAGAGCTCACTGTATTAAAAACACTTGTATTCATAACTTATGTGGATTGGTGCCATGTATGTCGAAATCAATTGTAAGTGATACAATTGTTTCCCTGCCACGTTGGCTGCTTATATCATAGTCATGTGGGCCAATTCTGTTTTATTTACTTTTTTTTGGTAATTTATCTTTAATATTGAAAGTATTACAGATGTCCCCTTCTCCCCCCATTGACTCCTTCTAGCACCCCGCCCTCCTGCCCCAGGCCCTCACCACACGCCAATTCTATTTTGACCCCAGCTCCACCAATATGCAGACTTGACTGTTGACATCTTCCAAAAGAATTGTTAAATTCAGCAGTTTGTGATTTCTGTAGACTTGACTGAATTTCCAAGGAACTTCAAGAGTGATCATTTCCTGTTTTCCTTAGTATTTCCACAGCTCCAAAGGTATTTCTCAGAGCCAAGTATGGCTTTCTTCTTGAACTTTCCTTCACCCAGCGTGTCAAATGCCCTCTATTCCTTCCAAGACATCCCCTCTCCAAACAGAACTTGTAAAGACTAGAATTCTCTTTCTTTTATTCTCCTGGTAAAAAAAAAATAGGTTTAAGGGATTGAAAACCTTGGAATGAAGAGAAAGGTAAATGCAGAGCTACTTATCACCCATGCTTGGTGCTGGGGAATGCCTGAAGGGAAAAACACAGTACCTGTCCTTTAGGAGCTAAAACTTGAGCTGGAGAGAGACCCAGTTTAATAGCATCCCACTGTTTTAACTTGCAGAAACTTTAAGTGATAAAATTCAGGGTTCTTATTCAGAGAAGGTAAAATTACCTTATGTTAATAGAGTATGTTTCATAAAGCCAACAGCAGAATTAAATACATATTAAAATGCTGGTAGAAATGAAATGGTTTTAGGAAAGATTCTAAACCTAAAACTACCCAATGCTGCTTGCCATCTAAAATAAATGAAGGAAAGCAAAAAAAGACAGACAAACACATGCTTTGTTTTTCTCCCGATATTTTATTTTTAGGTTTTAAAGTTGTCCTACTATATCAGAAGTAGTCATTATTCTCTCACTTCTCTTTGGAATGAGAGTTGGTGCCTACAAACTAGGCATTTATAATAAATCTTCATATTCACTGTTTTAGAAAAAAACCTCTCATTGTGTTAGTTATTCTTTGGAAACAGTAAGATTATTTCAATTTCCCAAAATATAAGAAGAAAAATTGAAAGAACCTTATTTAATTCTATTGGTTTGGTCTCACTAGCCTGAGACTATCCTTTTTAGTGTAGGCAGACTGCCAATCAGAAATAAATTTTTCCTAATATTTAGGACAATGTTTGAAGCAGTCACTTTTCTTTCTTTTGGGGGGCCTTTCTTTAGGCAATAAAATAGATAATTTTATTCAATTCTAAATTTGCACAGTTTTTTTTAAATAAATGTTACTTATTTTAGAAAATTATATCTTTTCTCTTTTCATCACACCACCCATGTGTGATATGGCTGGATCTCAGAAATCAAGCATTGGTTCCCTGCTTATTTCTAGAGTTTTAAAGATATTACAAGAGGAACGTTGTCTTTGAAAATCTTCCAAGAGATATTGTATTGACTATTTAACACATTGTATTTTAAATTAGGAAGACTTAAATTGTGTGTCCAGGATGAAATAGCTCTTACTAAAGGTGTAAAAAGACGTTATTAATATACTAGAGGCCCGATGCATGAAATTCATGCAAGAGTAGGCCTTCGCAGCCATGATGGCTGCCTCGATCCCTCCCTCGAAGCCCATGGATCCCTCCCTGGCAGCTGTGGCAGCTGCCTGAATCCCTCCCTTGCAGCCGCGGCTTCATCTGGAAGGTTGTCCGGAAGGATGTCTGGTCTAATTAGCATATTATGCTTTCATTATTATAGATAAGTCAGGAAAGATAGATCTGTGGAATTACAAGTCCCTCTTGCTGTGTGTCGGTTTATCAGTCAAAGCAGGCTAGGTTATGCTGTGATACCAAACCACCTCCCAAATCTCAGTGGCCTAACAAAATAAAAGTTTAATTCTCATTCATGTTGAATGTCTAACAAAAGTTGGTAGGGAATTCTGTCCTAATCATTGAAGGCCCCATCTTAAGACATTCTTCTGGAATCCTGGAGGTGGGGAAACGTGATGTTGGAAAATCTTGCACTGACCTGTGTCATTTCCTCTCACATCCCATTGGCCAGAAATAATCACATGGCCTCACTGAAACTTAAGAAGACTAAAAAATTTTGTCTAAAAATGAGGAGGACCAGAGAGAGTAGAGCCAGAATGATAAGAAGCACAGTCCGTTTTGATCCCCTGGTCATCAATCTCTGGATCACTCGTCTTCACATACAAAATACACTCACCCCATCCCCAAGAGAGAAAAGCAAAATTTTCCCCCCAAATGGGAGCAAATTAAACATGCATGAATTCTAGATCATATGTGGTAGTTTCTATGTTGAATGTTACTTCTCTTTATCTAGAGAAGTAACCACCTCCCAAATCTCAGTGGCCTAACAAAATAAAAGTTTAATTTACATTGGTGGAATTGTTACAAAAAACTGCAATAAACTCTATTACAGCTGGAAAAGGACAGTATGGGAGACAACAGTTACTGAGCCAAAGCCATTCTGAAATTCCACTGAGTAGATGTGGACTCCATACCCTCTGGACATGGAATTTGGATTGGGCCACAATTCCATTCCCTGGAAGTTCTTCTCTTACTCATTGTTCTCATAACTCCTGGGCATTCTTCTTTTCCCATTACTCTTCTTGGCCATATCCAGATTGGGCATTCAAAATATATCTTTCTTGGGTATCAGAAAGCTTTCTGACTCAGTATACTTCCAATGACCCATGTTTGGGACCAAAGTTTTTGAAATTTTGCACATTCACAGTCTCAACTCCTGGTGGCTAGTTAGCTGGTAAAATTAAAAAAAAAAAAAAGGTTTCTTATCTATTTTATTCTGGCCAGCTTACATGCACTAATAGGCACACTCACAGTTTTTTCCTAGACGTACTTTTTAGAGTTACAATAATTCTGTTTTCTTGGCCTATTCTTCTCTCCCTCCCTTCATTAAACTGTGGGTAGTTTGAGTCTATCAAGCCACTTTTAGCTTTTTTTTCCTTGAGCCAGTTTGTCCAGTTGAAAAGGTTTACTGAATTCTTCAGCCTAATCGGTGTTTTTGCTTTGAGAGACCTTAATCTGCTCAGAGATTTAAACCTTGATTTGATCCTTGCCAGAAGGCAGTTTGTTATTTAATGGTTTTCTTAGTTTTATCATTTGAGAATGAGAAGTGTTGTTACTTCCAACACTAAAAGTTTCCATATTTCTGGACTTGATTTTCTTTCATTCCTGCTTGCAAAATGGCTAATTATGCCAATTATGTTGCTCAGTGGTTCGATCATTGGCCCGAGTATCGAAAGATCAGTTTATTTCCTGCTCAAGGGCACATACCTAGGTTGTGGGTTCATTTCCCATGACTGGTTGGGGCACGTGCAGGAGGCAACTATTCAATGTCTCTCTCTCTCTCTCTCTCTCTCTCTCTCTCTCTCTCTCTCTCTTCCCCCTCCTCCTCCTCCCTCGGTTTCCTCCCTTCCACTCTCTGAAAAAACAATGGAAAAAATATCCTCCAGTGAGGATTAAAAACAGCAAAAAAGAAAAGGCCAATTTATAAGCTCATTTCTTTCATATATTACTTTGTCAAGTGCTCCTATTTAGCAGATGTATGCTACTATAACCTCACAGGAACTTCATTTCTTTAATATGACTTCTTCCTTAATTCAAGCTGGCTTTGTCCAGTCTAACAGCACTGACTCCCTTGCCTTCTTTCAACCAGATCCTTTCACTTTCGCACATACTGCATGTTCACTCCACTCATCATTAAGCCCTTAGGACATCAGGCTCTGGTCAGCATCAAACTATCTTAAGAAAAAAGCCTCAGATCTGCTGATCAAAGGAACAGAGTTTCGGTCACCTTTAAAGACAACATCTTGACCTCAGTTGTGTTTCAGCCCCAGGCCTATGACAGTGGAGAACCCAACCCACCGTACCCTCACCAAACCAGAACTCTGCCAAGAGTGATATCTGGATCTGATTTAATGATCAACTACCCACTCTGCTGGCCCCAGTCAATCAGTAGAGCCCATGGCCACAGCTCCCTTAGTTACTATGATTAATGATTTCCCCCCTTTGTAATCAATCCCCTAGAGGACATTGAGGAGTCAACAGGTCTTAGGCAAGCTCACCTGTGTCTGTGGGCTCAGCACCATTTCCTTAAATAAACCTGTACTTTCTTTGCTACCAACTCCTGTTGGCATTTTCGTGGGCTTTGATGTGTGTAGGCAAACAAACAAACCCCTTTAATTTAGTAACATTACTAATTTTGTTGTTCACACTCTTTTCTAAAAAAACACACACTACAAACTAATTAGGTATATTAACTGCCTTCTAATTTATCATGTGTGAGTTTTACCACATGTTTTTCAACTACATAATATGGATCAGTATCTTTGTAATCTCTGGTAATTATTTTTTAATTACCTGCCACTTAATTCTTAAGCCAAAGCCATGTAGTTTTTAAAAATACATATACTTTTATTGATTTTAGAGAGAGGAAAGGGGAAGGATAGAGAGATAGAAACATCAATGAGAGAGAACATAAATCAACTGCCTCCTACACACGCCTTACTGGGGATCTAGCCCAAAACCCTGGCACGTACCCTGACAGAGAATGGAACTGTGACCTCTTGGTTAATGGGCCTATGCTCAAGCACTGAGCCACACCGGCTGGGCCATGTAGTATTTTCTATTGTGTTGTGGATTGTCTCCCACCAACACCCTCTTGGGCTATAACTCCCATTCTGAATACCAATTTCTATATCAATCAGGATAAACTATATGATAAATGATCTCTAAATTTCAGAGATCTAGAACAACAAAAGTTTATTCCTTGCTCATGATACATGCCCATGATAGGTCAATAAAAAGAATGCTCATGGTAGACACTTGGAGAACCAGGCTACCAGCAGCCACCATCTTTATTGTCGGATGCTGTGCTGGAGGGAAAGGACTTTGGCCATTAAACTCTTGGTGCAGAAATCTCCCTTCCATTCACAACTCAACCAGCGCAGAGTATATGGCTCTTCCCAACCATAAAGGAGCTTGGATGTTCAATCCTATAATGTGCTTAGAAGACAGAAAACCAAAACTGTATAGTGGATGACATTCATAAGATCCGGTTGGTATTCAAAAAGAAAAGATGCTCATTCTTGAAAAATACACAAAGTATAATGAAGATAATAAATAAAAGTCATTAAAAATATGCCCTGGCTGGGTAGCTTAGTTGGTTGGAGTGATGTCCCATACACCAAAAAGGTTGAGGGTTCTATTCCTGGTCAGGACACATACCTAGGTTGTGGGTTCAATTCCCCGGTCAGAGTGTGTATGGAGGCTACTGATAGATGTTTCTCTCTAGCATCGATCTCTCTCTCTCTCTCTCTCTCTCTCTCTCTCTTTCTCTCTCTCTCTTTCTCTCTCTCTCTCTCTCCTGCTTAATGGGCCTATGCTCAAGCACTGAGCGACATTGGCTGGGCCATGTAGTATTTTCTGGTTAATGCGCCTTGTTCTTTCTCTAAAAATCAATTAAAACATATCCCCAGGTGAAGCTTAGAAAAAAAAAATCATAAAAAAAATCTCTCCTCAGAGATAATGGTAAGCATTTTATGTCCTCCCTTCTAATCTCTCCCTCCCCCAACTATATCATATTTAATCTTGTGAATATTATTTCCCTATTGTTGTCCATTAAAGTTATTTTCAATTTTTTCACATTTATAAGTGCTATGATATTCATAAACCCTGTGTTATCTTGGTGTACAAATACTTTCCTGCAGTTCTGACCTTATTTTAGCTAGGTTGATAGGTTAAAGGATATAAATTTTTTAAGGATTTTAATACCTGTGGCTACAATTACTTTCTAGAAAGGTAGGCTTTGGTCTGTATTTTGTTAATAGTCCAATAAAAGTCATTGCTCTCTTTCAAATATCAAATGCTACGCCTTTAAAATAAATTTCTCTTTATCCCACTTTAGGAATATTCACAATGCACACCACATCTTATGAAAAGAAATGATTATCAAGATACAAGTAACAGGTTTTGTTTTGTTTTTTAGTGTCACAAATTTCAAACATCCAAGAAAATGTCAACCAGTTTGATTTTAGACTGTGAGACAAAGACAAGCACAGTGAGGTAGGAGGCCTTATAACAGGGGCTATCAGAGATTAAAAATTTTTTTTGGATGCAGATTCAATTGTAAGCTGCTAGAGTTATTTTGGCCACATGTGGAGTCATGCTCCCTCAAGGATAGTTGGCTCTATAGGGGCGGAAAAAGTTTTCCTTAGCCCTTTTAGAATCCGTGGCTGAATCTAGAAATTACACTGACAAAGACAGCTTAACAAAGACAGGAGAAAAGCATACAAATTTACTTAAGATAAATTTTATGTGACACAGGAGCCTTCATATGGAACTAAAAACTGGAATGGTTAAGCCTGAAGAGTGTCAAGTTATAGCAAGTGAGAAATGATAGGATGGGCTATCAAAATGTATTAAACCAGGGGAAGGTTGGCCTGCTCATTCAGACTGTTCTCTGTGTCCCTTAGTATTTGGAGATAAGGGTCCCCCTTCCCTCTGGGTAAAGGAGGGCACCTCTCACAGGAGGGTTTTATGACTTGTTTTGGGGGGAAGGTCAGAAAGTCCTTGCATATGCCATTTCTCATATTCCTTCAATTTTAAATATTCACTATGCCGAGGTATCATGTTTCGGGGTAGCACGTCCTTGTCAGTGCATACAAGTTGGAATAGTTGCCACATACAAGCTTAAGGGTTGCTCTATACCCAGTTCAATGTCACAGATGGGTAGACCTGCATTCCTGGCTAATACTAGATCTCTCATTATCCCTAGAAAGGATGCCCACTTGGATTATGGTGCTCATGTCCATTTACAGTTAACCTTTGTTTCCATCTCCAGCCCTTGCCACCACTTTTCTACTTTTTCTCTTCATAGACTTATCTATTCTGGTTAAATGGAATTGTACAATATGTGGTCTTTGGGTCTGGTTTCTTTCACTTAGCATGATGTTTTGAACTTCATCTTTCTTGTAGCATGTGTCAGTATTTTGCTCCTTTTTATTGCTGAATAGTATTACATTGTACATACCATATACACATACTGCATTTGGTTTATCCTTTAAGCAACTGATGGTCATTTAGGTCATTTCCACTTTATGACTATTACGTATTATGTTATGAGTATTTGCATGCAAGTCTTTTGTTTGGACATGTTTTCATTTCTCTTGATTTGTTATCTAAGAGTGAATTTCTTGGTCATATGGTAAATTCATCCTTAGTATTTTAAGAAACTGCTAAACTGTTTTAAAAGGTGGCTGTAACATTTTACTTTCCCACTATGTATGAGAATTCTCATTTCTCCATATTCTTGACATTAGTTATCAGTCTTTTTTATTACAGCCATTTTAGTGTGGAGTAGTATCTCATTGTGGTTTTAATTTACATTTCTTTAATGACTAATGATGTTGAGCACATTGTCCTGTGTATATTATCCATTAATGTATCTTCTTTGACAAAATAGAAGTGGTTGTTTGTGGCAGCAGTCTCCGGTGTTTACCTATGCCGCCATCTTGGTCTCTCCTAATTTACATTTCTTTAATGACTAATGATGTTGAGCATATGTCCTGTGTATTTTATCCATTAATGTATCTTCTTTGACAAAATGCCCATTCAATTTTTTGTCAAATTTTAAATTGAATTGTCTCAGTATTTTTGAATTGTAAGGGTTATCTGTATATTCTGGTTACAAATGCCTTATCCGATTTGCAAATATTTTCATGGTGCTCTTTCATTAGAGTGGGATTTATTAGTCAGGGTATGCTAGGTAATATTGTTGAAAAAATTCAGTGGCTTAAAACTTCAAAGTTTTATTTTTCGTTCATGTACATTTTGTGATGGGTCTAGGTAGCTCCCTAGTGCCATTGTGTTCTATATTAGTATGTTCTCAGTGATGCATGTTCTCTTCAATACATGAGCACCAAGGCAAAGAGAGCCTTGGAGACTCTTGCACATGCAATGAAATGCTTCCACCCAAATTTATGAGATATGTCGATTCTTCTAACATTTCATTGGCTGCCTGAATCATATGAACATGCTTAACTTCAAACATTGAGTGAGTCAGGATTATTTCTCCACTGTGCCTGAATGGAGAAGATCAAAGAATATTGGTGAATAGCATTAATGCTATCTATCCTGGGGAGAGACAAGCAAGAAAAAAAAAGATACTTTTAGAAAGGGGTGAGTACTATTATGATAAAAAGGATGGTGGAATGACAACACATTGCGGACAGATCACGAGAATTCTCGCTTCATATTACACAGTGTTTTACAAAGTATCATACTTTAAAAAGATATTAACTTGTAAGAACATATAATAAATGACTTCAAAATGCAATGGGTATTTAATTTTAAAGCGTGCTTTTAACATTTATGTAAAACATTTTTTGTACTCGTTCAATAGAAGCTTATCTGGCCATTGGGTAAAGCTAGCAATAAAACTACTGGTCCGCAATGTGTTAACTGGGGGAAACAAATTTATTTATTAAAAAAAATATGTTTATTGGTTTCAGAGAGGAAGGGAGAGGGAGAGGAAGAAACATCAATGATGATAGAAAATTGTTATCAGCTGCCTCTTGTATACCCCCACACTGGGATTGAGCCTCAAACCCCGGCCACGGAATCAAACCGTGATCTCCAGGTTCATAGGTCGATGCTCAACCACTGAGCCACACCAGCAATGCTGGGGGGAACAAATTTAGACTAGGTGATCAGAAACAGTGTTTCTAAAGAGGGCTCATTTGCGCTAAGATTCCAATGACAGGAAGCAGCCAGTTGAATGAGGATCAGGCAGGAGCTTTCCAGGCCTGGAAACAGTTCCAAGGCCAGGAAGAGCCCTAGTGAGATGCTTGTGTGGTTGGAACAGAGGCGTAAGGATAGTTCTAGGAGATCTGGCCAAAGAAAACAGATCAAGGCCATTATGCTTTCCTGGTGAGGAGTGTAAATTTTACTTAAAGTGCGAAGGGAAAACAATTACGTGTTTAAATAAAAACTAAAGCTGATTTGCATTTTAAAATGTTATCCTGGGTGTGGTTATCCAGAAAGAATGGAAGAGGAACAAGGCAGGATGTGGACTTGACCTGGAGGGTGGAGGTGGCCTTGGAGGTGCTGTGTGGCTTATAGACTAGCAGAGGTCCTCAAACTTTTTAAACAGGGGGCCAGTTCACTGTCCCTCAGACCGCTGGAGGGCCGGACTATAGTTTTAAAAAAAGCTATGAACAAATTCCTATGCACACTGCACATATCTTATTTTGAAGTAAAAAAACAAAACGGGAACAAATACAATATTTGTTTTTGCATGTGGCCCGCGGGCCGTAGTTTGAGGACCCCTGGCTATATAGTCACTATGCTAACTGAGCCAAGGAAAGAGAAAGTGAGGGACACCTGTGAGCCTGAGCTTGCGCTCCCCAGTAGGTATTGCTGAATAGTAAACAGTGTAGCTATTTCCTGAAGGGGAAGAAAGGGAGGAAGGAGAGTTCTGTTTGTCCTTGTTAAATTTCACATGCTTATTAGACATTGAAGTGAGCATTTAGTATAGGTATCTGAAGATGAAATATAAATTGGGGAATTACATATAGAATTCATGTTGTTTTACAATCTTCATAGCCTTAGGGTGGATCAGCTTTTAAAACAATTATGTGGAAAAAAAAACACACATCACAAAACAATTATGTGTATTACAAGAAACAGACAACTAAAATGTCTGTACAATATCTTAGTTTTGCTTGTGCACTATAACTTCAGTGCAATTCTGAAAGTGAAATTGCTAAGTTTATGCGCATTTTTACATTTTTATTTTTTGCATTTTACATTTTGAAAGGGGCCAAAATCCTCAGAAATGTTTGCACCTCTCTTGGCTTGCAACGCTGGCCAACATTGGCCATTAGCACACTTTAATTTCTGCCAATCTAATCGTAGAAAAAAGGGACCTCATGATTTCAACTTGTATTTCTTAAGAGTAAAACTGAGCTTCTTCATATTGGCCTTTCTTCTTCGTGCTCTTTGACTTTGAAGCTGTGTACTGGGTCCCCTGGGTCCTCCTAGGTGCCAGACTCGGGTCCGAGTTTGGCGTGGTCAAGATGCGGAGCCCGCTGTTGGCAGGGATGCGCGTTTCCTCCTGCGCCCTGCACGCCTGGCGGGGGCCCGCAGCTGGCTGGGGGCGGACAGATGACGAAGAGGAGGCCCGGAGGTGCTGTGGTGAGAAGAGGCTTGGGGAGGCGTAGGAAGGACGATCAGCGTCCATCGCGCCCCGGACTGACCCCGGGAATCCCCGAATTCCCGCGGGGGATCCTGGCTTCCCTCCCGCGTGGTTTCAAAAGTTGTGAAACTCCCGAGGGTCCCAGCCCATGGCCGCCCTGGTGTCGCGTGGTCTCCAAGGGAGCGGGGAAAGTAAAACCGAAACCTGCCTGCCGGCCCGCCCTGCCGCCCGCGCCCCGCTACGTTCCAGCCCCGCCGACGGCCGAGTGCGCGTCTCTGCTCCGCCATGGCAAGTTGCTTTTGCTCCGGATTTTGCAGGGCAGGGTCGTTTCCGTGCCGTCGCTTCGGTCCTCTAGAAGGACGAGGAGCCTGGTGGGGGTGGGCGAGGGTCCCCGGGCGAGGGGGCAGGGACCGGGCAGGGGAGAGCCAACTGCCCTGGGGCACCCCTGCCAGCAATCGTCTCCCTGCCTTTCTGCACCTGCCCGCGTGGAACTGCGCGCCTGAAATTCACAGCGGGCTGTGCTAGAGGCTCCGCTCCAAAGGGCGGAACGCGGCCACCCCCCACCCGGTTCCCAGTGCCCCGTCGCCAGGGACACAGCTGTTCTGCCGGGGAGTCGCTTCGCAGGCTGTGTTAGGACTTAACTGTTGTTCCCCATACCATCCCCCGCTTTGGTGAACAAGAGCGGAGGGAGTTACCCAGAAATGGAGGCCCCGGTTTCCTTTTGAAAAAGGCCAGTGAGAATGATTCCAGCCAAGGACGCAAGCTGGGAAGGCATCCAGATGGGTATCTTGTCTGAATTAGTGAGAATTCTCTCTTGTGGCTTAGTCCTTTCTCTAGACAAGGGCTCTGTGTTTTCACCTCCGTGCTAGCTAGCAAGAACAGTTAGCAAATTCAAGAGTCAGCCTTCCCGCAAGCGTTTGAAAGCAGTGGCAGGGCCCTGAATGCTCACTTAGAAATGCCAAGGTCCCGGAAGTGCCCAAGCAGTGTGAGATGCAAGTGTGGTTTTCTTTACTGTAGTGACAAGAAACAACTGGTTTTTAAAATATATTTATTTATTTTTAAAAAATATATTTTATTGGTTTTTTACAGAGAGGAAGGGAGAGGGATA